ATTTGGTAAATCTTGGGTCTGCAGATTTGCTGTTGCTCTTTGACTGCAGCTCACATAATGTATCAACTATTGAATTACTGCCTTGTTTTATTTTTTTCTGAGCCCATTGAAAAAAAAAAAATAATGTAAATCCATTTATTGTCCCACAATGACAATCCCCTGTGGGAGCAGTGGGCTGCTTTTGTGCGGCGCCCAGGGAGCAATCAGGGGTTAAGGGATTTGCTCAGGAACCCAGAGTGGAGGCTGTGGGGATCAAACCGGGCTCTCAGAACACAAGCCCACTGCATTTAACCCATCCCCTTGGGGAGCAGTGGGTTGCCACTGTGTGGGACCCAGGGAGCAGCGTGGGGTTAAGGGTCTTGCTCAGGGACCCAGAATGGGCGAGAGGCAGGGTACACCCTGGAAGGTCGCCAGTCCATCGCAGGGCAACACAGAGACAAACAGGACAGACAACCACTCACTCACACCTAAGGAGAATCTAGAGAAGCCAATTAGCCTAACAGTCATGTTTTTGGACTGTGGGAGGAAGACGGAGTACCCGGAGAGAACCCATGGATACTCAGGGAGAACATGCAAACTCCATGCATAAAGACGCCGGGCCAGGAATCAAACCCAGAACTTTCTTGCTGCAAGGCAGCAGTGCTAACCACTGTACCACTGAGCAGCAAAAATAATTCAGCATAAATTAAGCAAAAACAGCCTACTGCTGAAGGACAGATAGGCGATAATAACACGTTATTAACATTTAATAAGTCTCCCTTTAAGAGAAAATTGACAGTGAGTAAGATATGGCAAATTTGCTTAAAGACTTCCCACCCAGTTCAGAGATAATCAATACTGGTTAAACCCTCCTTCCTCCGAATAAAGAAAATATGACCACTCACACTTTCATGTGGTCCGGGCCGTCACTTCCAAGATCCTTAAACTCTAACGGCAGTCTATGTCTCTGCGCATAGGTGCCTAAATCACCGACAGGGTTTCCACTTAGTCTATCCATGGTAATGACGCAGCAAGTTGGGATCAACTGATAGAAATGGTTTACAGATCAGCCAGCTGCTCCACGTATCCGCTGCACCGGCGCTCTACACCCTGGATCTGTCTCTCTTCAGCTCATTAAACCTTCATAAGTTTCGTTTATTTCTTTCGGAGGGGATCGGCGGAATAGAAACTGAAACTGATCACTACAACTTCCGGCAAAGTGATTAGTTTATTTCCGCAAATAAGTGATGTGCAAGGCTACTGAAAAATAAAAAAGTTAACAGATTTTTTAATTTTATTTCATTGTAATATTAGAAAAAAGTCAGAATTCT